GTGAAAAGAATTATCAGAAGAGTTGTCCAAGAGCCAAGGACCACTTGTGGAGAGCTTCAGAAAGACCTGGAATTAGCAGGTATGATTGTTTCAAAGAAAACTATAAGTAATGCACTCAGCCGCCATGGCCTGTATGCACGCTCACCACGTAAGACTCAACTGCTGAAAAAACAGCATGTTAAAGCTCATTTAATGTTTGCTGCATAACATTTAGAAAAGTCTGTGAAATACTGGGAAAATATAGTCTGGTCAGATGAGACCAAAACTGAACTGTTTGGATGCCATAATACACATTATGTTTGGAGGTCAACTGGCACTGCACATCACCCCAAAAACATAACAGTAAAGTTTGAAGGTGGGAACATCATGGTGTGGGGCTGTTTTTCATCGTATGGTACTGGCAAACTTCAAATAATTGAAGGAAGGATGAGTGGAAAAATGTACAGAGATATTCTTGATAAAAATCTGCTTCCATCTACCAGGATGATGAAGATGAAACATGGCTGGACCCCAAACACAAAGCCAAGGAACTCTTAGTTGGTTTCAGAGAAAGAAAATAAAGCTGCTGAAATGGCCCAGCCAATCACTTGACTTGAATCCAAAAGAAAATCTATGGAAAGAACTAAAGATCAGAGTTCATAGAAGAGGTCCACGAAACCTTCAAGATTTGAAGACTGTTTGTGTGGAAGAATGGGCCAAAATCACACTTGAGCAATGCATGCGACTAGTTTCTCCATACAGGAGGCATCTTGAAGCTGTCATTCCAACAAAAGCTTTTGTACAAAGTATTAGATAAATTTCACTCAGCGTGTTCAATACTTTTTCCCTGTGCCATTCCACATTATTAAAAATAACTTCATTTCTGGACATTTATGGTTTGATTTCTTTGTATGTATGGATCACTTGGGTTGTTACCGACATCTGGTGAAAATTTCATGTCATTAGCACCTCTAGTAAATATATTTACTGAGAAAAATGGTGATGTGTTCAATACTTATTTTACTTGGTGTGTGTGTGTGTGTGTTTTTTTTTTTTACGTGACTATCAGTCAACAGTGGAGTTGAACCCAAAATGCCAAGGAACTTGGTAAAATAAAGATTTCTCCATCTCCATCTTCTTCCGCTAATCAGTGGATGGGTCACGGAGGCAAAAGGTCCAGGAGAGAAACCCAGACATCCTTCTCCCCAGCAACACTTTCCAGCTCGTCCTGGGGGACCCTGAGGCGTTCCCATGCCAGAGAGGATACATAATCCATCCAACGAGTCCTGGGTCTTCCCCAGGGCCTTCTATTGGTGGGTCATGCCCATAACACCTCTAAAGGGAGGAGTCCAGGAGGCATTTTAATCAGATGCCCAAACCACCTCAACTGACTCCTTCCCTACGAAGGAAGCTCACTTCGGCCACTTGTATCTGGGATCTCATTCTTTTAGTCATGATCCACACCTCATGACCATAGGTGAGGGTTAGAACAAAGACCAACCAGTAAATCGGTAGCTTTTCCTTTCGTCTCAACTCTTTCTTCACGACGACTGACCGACACTGAGAATGAGGCCTCAATCTGTCGATTCATCTCCTGCTCCATCCTACCATCACTCATGAACAAGGCACCCAGATATTTAAACTCCTCCACTTAAGGCAGAGACTCTCCCTCAACCCGTAGGGGGCATTGCACTTGTAACCCAGGTGAAATAAAAGCATTCAACCTGATGGAGAAAGTRAVAAAAGGAGAGTTTATTTTGTTATTTGCTGCTTACTTCRCCTAACTTGCAAATGTCCCACTGCATTTGAAAGCACCACAGAACGCATGTGGGCAGGACCTAGCAAAACAGCTAATCAGGGACTAMGTACACCATGTTTTGCTCCTCAGTGCAGAAGTGAAGTTCTAGCGAGTTTTTTCTTTGGCCTCTTTGTTCAGACTTCAGCAATGAGAGCAGTCGAGGTCAATTTGTTACAAGGAGAGAAGAAAAAGAGAATCTGGAGTTCATGGTAGGAAGACAGCCAAGCAAGCTCACTTACATGTTGAGAGTTTAAGCTTAAGTAATTCAGCAGTTTGAAATGAAGTGCATCAACCAAAACATTATTTTTTCTTAGGAGTCGTGCAAGACCCAAAGTTGTTGAATCCCATCACTGAAGAGCAACGGTGAGAAATGTGCTCTTTGCCTGAAACAACAGTTTTGTTGTTTTGTTATATAACATAATATAAACTTGGAATTGTATTTTATTTTATAAATGTAATGTACTGAAGAGGTCATTTTGGTTCACATGTGACATAAAGTAGCTTGGAGGGTAATTTTTGGTGCAGCTCCTCTGTCGCATTACCAGGCCTATAATGTATGGGGAGTAGTAAGCACACTTTATCTATACCTCTGAAAAACTTTGTGTAATTAATAGTATTTTATTTGCATTTAATGCTTATTCAAGTCATGATAAGCTATTTCATGGTCGTTCTAAAATGTCAGTTAAAATATTGTTCACATGAACAGTAAACTGTGAATATTTAGTTTTGAGTGAAATGTTTTGACATCTTTAAATGTTGTACAACTAATATGAAGATTTATTTGATTGAAGATTTCCAAGTGAGGTTTGATTCAATCTTTAGATTTTGATATTGAACCTTTTTATTAATGCATCTAAGAATGCAGAGTAATAGATACGTGACCTTCTCTATAGATCAGGTTTTGGTTGGTTGGAGAAATGTCCAAGGACCAGACGGGATTCTGTTGGATTGGATGGCGAGCCAGAAAGGACCTCGAGTGGAGATATAGAGAAGACACACACAGATTTTTGAACTGAACAACAAAAACTGATCAGATTTAAGGGCCCCAACAGATACTTGATTTTAGTGTGCACACTGTTTTGATTTTTTTAGGAGGAAGTTTTATGTTTTTTCTGATGTTAAATTGTGTTTGTTAATACAATATCTGTTCAAACATTTGTATGTTGAGAGTCTTTGTTGTTACTCAATTACTTGGCTCTTAAGAACCTAGTTGTTTTGACATTGGTCCTACTTTATTCTTAGTTCACAATTTTAACTGTAATCCAATTTTAGTTGCAAAAAAGGGTTACAAAAGTGGCGAGCCAGCCAGGAGCCATAGGATTTGAGTATCAATATTAAGYGCATGATGGATTGCATACAAAAGTCTGGTGTTAAAATCCCAAATGCAGTTATTGTCAGTGGAGTAACTGGAGTAGC